GTGTGTGTGTCAGCTGCTAATAGAAAAGTCGGTGGTTCAAACCCACCAACCACCCTGCGGGAGAAATACGTGGCCGTCTACTTCCATAAAAATTACAGCCTAGGAAACCCTATGGGACAGCTCTGCTCTGCCCTAGGGGGATGCTATGAGTCAGAATCGACTTGACAGCAATGGGTTTTTGGGTGGGTGGGGGTGTTTTGGTAGGGGGGGAATGGAATCACCCGAGGGGTTTGGTGTAGCCACTGTGAAAAAGGAAGAGCTAATCTAAAACACCTAAAAATTTGCCCCATATCCAGCAAAAGCAGGATATTCTATATCCTCACTTGTGCTTCTTAAGAGATGCGCTGCTATTCAAAGATGTTCTGGTGGACACTGACATGACAGAGTCCTCGGTCCCTCAGAGACTTACTTTTCTTTAGTCATTTGTTACGGTCATGAGCTACCTTCAACACATGATTTTGGTTTGTTTTCCTCTCTCTTGGATCATTAAGAGGGATGACAACTTCAGAACTTATTTTAGCATTTTCTAAACTTTCTTCCTCAAAATTTCTTCCAAAACTGCTAATAAATAGGAAAAATAAAATGCTGTATAATAAAAAAAATAAATTATAGAACAAGAAAAATTTTAAGGAAAAAAAGAAAAAAATTTAGGTCAAATTTCTGCCAAGGTTTAAGTATCTCTTTTCCTTTACTTAATAAAAAATTTACTTCATTACATCATTATAACACCATTTTCATGTATTAACAATTGTATAAAAAAGTGACATAGTAAAATTTTGAATAAAATATTGAGGTACACAGAAAATGTACTGGCTTCTCCAAAACTGTGCAAAGTGCTGATAATTCATATCAAGACAATTGTGTAAGCCTCTAACAGAAAAACTCACCACCCAATCTCAGAATGATCAAATGAGTCACTCCTAAAGAGAATTAAAATAATTAAAATGAACCTAAAAACTGACAAAGAACTTTGCAAAACTATCTCCTAACAGATTTTCACTTAAACTAAGAATTACAGGTGATTCCGGACAAGTCAGAGTTAAGTGATTTTATTATCATCCAACTAAGCATAAGGAGGCTGTTGACTCTAAACGAGTACCCTCACTTGGTGTGGAAATGTACATTTGAATACGGAGAGGTTTCCATCAAAGCAAACTATTTCCCATTGATTAAAAGAATAACATTAAGGATGAAGGAACCAAATGATCCCAAATGTCACCTCCTAATTCTTTATACCCCTTCTCTCTCTCCCAACCCTTCCCATTACCTTCCCATTAAACTGAAGCACACAACAACCTACTGGACATTAAAGTATATGCCACCCACTCTCTCAAATCAGTGAGTTTATTCAACCACTCCCTTGGTTTAATGCCCTATCCAACTGAAAACTAGACTCTTCCCTGAAGGCTTCCTAAAGTAATGAGGGCTTCTTTCCTCATACATATTTGTGCCTGTTATATCCCTGTCACTAGTCCTGGGAGTTCCTCAAGGGCAAGATAAAACCTAACACATTTTACTGTTTGTATTCTTCATTACATTATAAACTCTGTTAAACTTTCTTTTACCTTGCTTACCACTGAATCCTCACATATAAGCTTGATACGTGTTGAATGAATTACTCATTGTTAAATACCCTTAATCAAATACAGACAGTCCCCATCTTACGACAGTTACTCTGTCATAAGTCTGTTCTGATTTAAGTTGACTACTTCTTTCTTCAGTTTTCATTATTATTGCCTTTTATTATCAGTATCTTTCTTTATAAATTGAATATTTATTTCTCTTTGGGGGTTGGAAACATTAATCTGAGAATGATAACATCAGCAAATTATGTGCCGCAACACTGTATGTAGTACGTATTACTAACATTAAGACGTACTAAAAAAAAAGACAGTCGTTAAGTGTGGTTTCTTATAACTCGAATATATGGTAAGCTGGGGACTACCTGCATAGCAATTACACAAAAGTCTCAGTAAATAAATGACCTAAGTGAATGTATACCCCATACACTTTTCAATAAATCACTTTGTACAAAAAAAGTCAATTATAAAAGTCACTGACGCCAAAACTTTAAAAATACAGGTCTTGATGACACAAGAACAAACTGTTCTTTAATCATAGCTATAATTCTTCAATACACAAAATAAGTGAAAGATATAAGTTGTGTAGGATTTCTGGTCAGGTTGTTGTTCTTCTTCTTCTTAGCCTGATTCTCCACTATTATTAGTCTCTTACTATGGCAACATCACAACTTCTCTAGGGAGAAACTTTCAAACTCTGTTGACACTTCCTGACCTAAAACTCACTTTAATGCTTCTAATTTTCTAATGGCAATACACACATGGTTATCCAGCAGAGGAAACTTCCTCTGTAAACTGAGACTCTCAAAAGGTAAAAACAAAATACCAGTGGCATCATTAAGGTTGGTGTCACCCAGTGTGGTAACTCACAGTGTCACCCGGCCCCCCCCATGGACCTCCTCCTGTACCAGAACATACAGAATCCTTAGTAATATTTTCTGTACTAATGTTACTCATAAATCATAATTCTCATATATCACTCCTTCTTTTCCTTTAATTACTACTTCATTCTCAAAAAAAAGTTATTGATATAGGTTTACAAATACTAATTACAACAATATTGTAGCTAAAACACCAGAAAATTTGACAAAATCAGCTACTACAAAAACAGTGGCAGCAATGAAAACGATAGGCTGTGGTTTGTAGTGGGTGCAGATGAAATCACGTGATTCAAAGCATCAGTGTAATTGAGCAATAATGACAGCTCTGACAGGCGGGCATTAGAAGGTTCAAAAGTAAATTAGCATAGAGTCTTAACCTTTCAGATATATTGATACATGTAAGTTGGGCTTACAAAAAAATGTTTTTGTTGTTATAACTACGGGGATATTTTTATTAAAAATTAATAAATTTCTGCTGAAATACTGCACAAAAATTTTATACACAGGCATTTTGGTGTCACCCCGACAGTGTCACCTTGGGTGCAGTCCACACACCCCCAGTGATGCCACTGCAAAATACTAAAACTCTACACCACCACAAAGGTTTACATTAAAATTCCTTCAACTTAAGATAATGGCTATTTGAGTTAGGTAATTTCAAGATCCCCAAAGGTTATTTTTCTCCCAGCTAAAACTATGTAAAATCATGCAGTACACATAAACTTGCCACAATAAAATGCACTCACTGCACCTCAAAATATTTAAGAGTCGCTCAAATTTTTACTAACAAGCTGCTCACAATTCCACTCAAAGAACTTTGCAAATGCACTAAAAAAGCTTGCAAAGTAAAGGAGTTACACATATTACTCTCTCAATACCAGAGTATGATACTAAAAGAAAAAAACTTCCTAACACTATTTTAAAATTCTCCTATGGAAAGCAATCTTTTTTTTTCTTTTAGACTCAATCTTAAACAGCAATAAAGAATGTAACTTTTGTCCTTCAGCACTGGAATTGCTACACATCTCACGAAAATTGTTCTCATCATAGCTACTGAAACGTAAGAGACTGGCTTCCCAAAGGAGGTTCACTTTACATTTAACTAAACATAGAAAGGAACCTGCTTTCTTTTCAGGATCTTCACAGTTTTGAAGTATCCACCCCCGCCCCCAACAAAAAAAAAAAAAACTGTTCAATTTAATTCTCTTCCCTAAAGTACCCAACATATTGAAAAGCAAACGGGCCAAACAGTACCTAGATTCCTCAAGGATCACAAAGTTAGACTAATAAATTTATCATATGTAGTGCTACAAAATAAGAGCCCTGGTGGCGAAATGGTTAAGAGCTCGGCTGCTAACCAAAACGTCGGCAGTTTGAATCCACCAGCTGCTCCTTAGAAACCCCATGGGGCAGTTCTACCCTGTCCTATAGGGTCGCTATGAGTCGGAATCGATTCGAGGGCAATGGGCATTGCTACAAAATAAGTCAACGAAATTCCAGACCCGGATGACCCCTATATCGGCCTTTTCGGGGTTATGTTGGGAAACCGCAAATCGAAGGACAAAAGTCACAAACGCTGAAGATTCCGCAGCAAAGAGCTAAGCTAAAAGGCTATAAACAAGAGCAGAGAAACACCAAGTACGCCCTACGCGGACGGTAAACTGAAATATCACAACGGAAGAACAGCAAGACCTACTACTATTAATCTAGTACTATCAATTCTCAGGCTGACGCACAGCTTTCCTCCTGGCACGCGCTTTGGCCCCGCCAATCTAACCAGTTAAGTGATAACCAGGAGACTTCAGGGGCTACCTCTGGTTTTCGACACACAGAACAGCCGAGCTATGAACTCAGTAAAAAAGATCTGACCCCACACCCTCCTAGGGGCAGGAGGCGATGGTTCTCCTCCAGCACCAAGTCAAGGAGCCGCTGCACCACTCGCTCGCCTCCCACCAGCCCTGGCAGTCGGAAGCGGGCAGCGAAGCAGCTTGCGCCACCTCGGGGTCTCCGCTTTCAACCGCAGCCGACAGCACACTCTACGATTACCACCCACCCGCACCCTGCAAGCAAAGCCAGACGGCAGTCGGGGGCCAATGTCCAGGCCACCGGCGCCCGGCGCAAAGAGGAGGCCCGCAGACCCAACGCCCGGGAGGCGCCCCCGGAGCCCAAGATGGCGGCGGCGGAGCCAGGTCCGGGCCCGGCCCTCGGCGGCCTCCCCGCCAGCCCGACCGCGCGCGCGCCGAGAGTGTGTGTCAGGCGGGAAGAGAGAGGAGGCCGGAGAAGGGCGGCGAGGAAGAAGCCTGGAAATATAAATGCCTCCGCGTGGGGGAGGGTCGGGCCCGCCGACATTCCCTCAGCACCCACAGCCCGCCCCAAATAAAAACCCACGGAGCTCTCCACTGGGGAGACGAGCCCCGTCGCCCTCTCGAGGGTTGGCGGTGTCTTCTTCCTGCCTACCTTTAAATTTGAGGTCTGTGGGCGGGTCAAGGACCAGGATCTGCTCGTGTTTCGCCATGGCCCCGGAGGCGGACGCCATCGGAGAGGAGCGCAGCACGGGGGCGCGCCAGCGGCGGCGGTTTGGTGGTGGGGGCGGGGAACGACGGCGGGCGCCGGGCTGCGGGCCGACTCGAGGACTGGGCCAGGCTCACGGCGCCGAGCTCGCCTCCGCCTGCTGGTCTGGCTCCTGTCCCGCCAGCCGCTCGGTGGGTCAGCAGCTCTGGTCTCACAACTGACTGAACCCAACACCCGCCGCCACGGCCGCGCGCACTGCGATCCTCGGCGCCCACGTCACGCCGATACGTGCCTACGTGCGCGCCCCCGCGCCGGGGCCTTTCGCCCGGCCCGCCCCCGAACCGGGTCTAGCGCGGCAAGGCGTTGGTGCGCCTGCGCGCACCCAGCCGCGGCCGCCACTCGGAGAGAGCCCAGCTGTCAAGGGAATGGGTGTGGCCAAGGGCGGGGCTCAGCTTCGCCACAGGAACCCGGTGCGCACCGCAAGGCGGGGTGGGGGGGCATTCCTCTGCTGTGTTTAACTCCGATTACGAAACAAGAGAGGCTGCTCTGGCAGGGCATCAGCGTCTTCCAAGTAGGAATGCCTACTATAAGGAAAAAGACGTAACAAGGAGTTGCCCTTGAACTATAACTCCCAGCATGCCCCACGCCGGGGCGGAGCCCAAGTGTCTGCCTGGCCCTTTGCAGCACTTTCGCGGTGCTTGCCGGGAACTGTAGTAGCGGCTGCTTGTGGGCGGGAAGGAGACTGAGGTCTGGCTGAGGTGAGTGGGATGGGGCGCTCTGAGACGCGTTTTGGCTCTCAGCGTCTCATCTGCGCTAAAAAGGAAAAACAAAAATGTTTGGTGGCTGACCCGAGGACTCTTGAATAGAAATAAAAGAATCTACCCTGTAGAAAACAGGCTCGAATTTACCAGTTTGCTCTCCGAAGCTATCGATCTCTATTGGGAGATCCAACCTCTGCTGCTTTCTGAATTCTCCTCAGTGATGCAAAATCAGATGAGGAAGCATGCCTTGTTCAAGAAGCAGATGCGTCGTTGGGGAAATCAGACAAGGCACACGTATCAAGCTAGAAATAAAGATCAAAATCTACAACGCTGAATTCAGTTGCTGTGGTTCTACTCCCCAGTTTTGATTAATGATAGACTCAAACCAAAAACAATTGTCACATCACGTGTTAGAAACGAATTCCATCTGCATCACCGACGATAGCTGGTAGTAAACTGAACCAAATGAGAAAAAGTTGCTGACAAATTTGCAGCCGATTGCCATAGTAGTGGGGACAGGAACATCAAATGAAACGAACCAAGAATGTGCTGTAAATAAACCTTTATGGTACAACTTGGATTTAAATCCCTAGCGAGCACCACAAAGCAAAGGGCATGAAGGAGCAGCCCGGTCTGTCCAGAAAACAAATGAGACAATTGAAACCGAAGTCTAAACAGGCACAAAGTCCAAGTTTTCACGTGCAGTCCAGGTATCAGAGCTTCCAGAAAGAGCTCTGGAAAATAGCTAACCTAACATTCATTCACAGAAGTTTGTGCCCCACAGCCGTGAAGAACCTGGGAGGATGGGAGTCTTTGAATAATCTGAAAGACTTATCCTGAATTTATCTTTCCTTTGATATCTTTTTATTCACAACATCTATTTCAAAATTTCAGTTACCATTAAAGGAGGGTACAAAACTTAGAAGTTTATCAAAAGAGGATTTAAGATTTAAAGAAAAAAAAGATTGTGGTTGACCATCACTCCAGAGAATGGTGTCCCACACGTTTTGTTGTAAACTGACAACTCTAAAAGCCATCAGCAACTCCAGTGTTTTGCCTGCCTTGGAACCTCTCAACCATTGGTAAGTTGGCCAAGGAAATGCAAGCATTGGCTGAACTGGCTTCTACCCCCTCCACACCTGGATGGACACCTCTGTTACCAGAAAGCGTTTGGGAATCCCCAGTATACACATGGCCAACTAGCAGGTATAGCATGCTGAGGAAGTTTCCAGTCTCTTCCTTATGGGACAGTGATTTCCCATCCACCACATGTTCAATGAGACACCTCAATCAGATTATCCCAGTTTCCCAGTCTACATCATCAAGAACCTCTGCCCGTTTTAAGTCATCCACCATTGAAATCAATTTTTCTTCTCAGTATTGCTTCAAAATCATATAGGCATAGTCTTAAAAATCTGTAAGAATTTAAGTATCTGATATTCTAGCAATACAACAAGTATCTGTTGAGTAATTCCCATTACTATTTTAGGGCATTGCATTAATAATGACTCAGAGCCCTCCTGAACCTTCTACCCCTCATCAAATACTGCACTATTTAAGTGGTTTTTTCTTTGACATTTATTAATACCTTTCTTCTAGCAGTTCAGAGAACTTTACAAACATCATTACACACTACTCAGAACATCCTTGTAGTAGTTGGCAAGTATTACTTTTGTTGTTAATCACAGAAATGAAAACACAGGTGAGAGCATCTCAAGACAGTAATAAACTATGGGGGGAAGTGGAGAAAGTTGCCCAGTTTTCCATCCTTGTGCATTTTTGCTCTTCCCAAAGCCAAATAAAATGACAACCCGTAGTGATCAAGGCAACAGTTTAAAATGTAATTGATTATTGTTCAATATGTAAGCTAGGAATCATGAAACATGGGGCCTGATGTTCATTCTGTTTTTATTTCATTGATTAATGCACTACATAAAGTTCTCATGGTATTAGCAAATATATATATACTTTTAAGCAAGTTTCTTTAGCTACCAAATTTTCCTAAGTATAAAAGGTATCCAAATCAAAACCAAACCCACTGCTGTTGAGTCAATTCCGACTCATAGCGGCCCTAGAAGACAGAGTAGAACTGCTCCATAGGGTTTCCAAGGAGCAACTGGTGGATTTGAACAGCCAACTTTTTGGTTAGTAGCCAAACGCTTAACCACTGCACCACTAGGGCTCCTCTCTGTCCTATAGGGTCACTATAAGTCAAAATCGACTCGACGGCAAAAGGTTTGGTTTTTGGTTTTTGGTTTTTGGTTTTTGGGGGGTAAAAAAAATAAAATAGAGTCACTGCATACAAAGATTCCTTCTAAAACAGACCGATACATATACTATGGGGTGAAAACTAATTGAAATATGTGGCAGATTAGGAAGTATTGCAGGGATGTAATGCTTATGTCAATGTGGAAATGTTGGTGGTACTCACTGTAGCATATTTGTCAGATTTATGTGAGAGATATAGATTCCAACAGAAGGCAGATTGAAGCTTCACCACATAAAGTCAATGCTGGAAAAAGATGAGTTAGAAACAAGGTTTTTATTCTGACAATTTTTCTTTGTAAGACTTTTTAAAATGGTTAAAACTTTAAGACTAACAGTCTTTATTTGTAGAAAATCATTGGAATAACGTATGTTTTCTCTATTAATCTTTAATGTTATAAAAGCAATATGTACTTATTATAACGAATGAAATAATCCAGAGGCATATGAATAAAAAGTTTCCTCTGACACCACTCCATAACTACTCAACTTAGAGTAACAATGTCAGCTGCCTTGGTTGCGTATCATTCTTGAACTTTATCCACACTTATAAAAACATAGCAAGTATTTTTTTTCCCCTTATGAGAATTCAAACACACTACTATGCAGTTGCTTTCTGGATATCTGACCAGGTCAATTGGCATAGATCTAACTCGGTCTTTTTAATAGCTGAATCCATAGAATAGATTACCCAGCGATGATTCCATTTGTTCCCTAGGCTTTTATCATAACAAATAATACCGTAATAAACATCCTTAAACACATATCCTTGCCATATAATACTTTTATTTCCATTGGAATATTTCCAGTGGTGGAAATCAAAGGTTCTAGGTCGAAGATATTTCATATTTCAACGTAAACTGCATACTGTTTATCCAAAGGGCTGTAGCAGTTCACACGTCCATCCGGAATGTATGAGAGGGTCCATTTCCCCTTGTCCTCACCAAGTCCTAGATCTCATTCCTGCACAAGCCACTGGTAAGTATCCTTGGATTGTTCTGGTCAAAAGTTTTGCCCTCCAAAATTGTATGAACTAACTAAGTTTTCACTGAATCTGTCCTTGTTCATTGAATCCATCTTCCTCTTGCCCATTCCATTTTACTTCTATAGATCTCAACTATTAGACTATCCATAAGCAACCAGTAGGAGCCCTGGTGGTGCAGTGGTTAAGCGTTTGGCTGCTAACCAAAAGGTAGCAGTTCAAATCCACCAGGTGCTCCTTGGAAACTCTATGGGGCAGTTCTACTCTGTCCTATAGGGTCATTATGAGTCAGAATCGACTCGACGGCAGTGGCGGGGAGGGGGAGGGATATAAGCAACCAGAGATTCTGTACAGACAATGTTTTATTTCCTTCACAAATGCGGTTGTTCTTTAAGGAAACCAAACAAGAGGAAATAAAAAGATGTCTACAAACATGAATCCCACACTTGACACATTGCCTGACTTCTCATGGTCTCTGGACACCAGGCTCTCAGTATGGCAACAACAGTCCATGGGGTAAATCAGGGTCTAAGGGCATCAGGCCGACTGACATCCAGGCTTCATGATCTTTTGCCCTGTGTTGTGCAATTAAACTCTACAGCCAGGTCTATAAAATGGCAACAATGCAACTGCTTGTGTGTACTAAATGATAGAATGTAATAGTTTCCTGGGCTGCTGTACCCAGGTATCAAAGTACCACAAGGTGGGTGACTTATAACAGCAGAAATCATTGTCTCACAGTCCTGGAGACTAGCAGTCCGAATTTAGGCATTGGCAGAACTGTGTTGTCTCTGGAGGTTCTAGGGAATCTTTTCTGATCACTCTCAGTTCAGGAGTTCACTGGTTTGCTGGTGCGTCTTCACATGGCTGTAGGGGCTACTCTCTGCCTCTGTGTCTCTTCTCTCCTCTTTTATTGGGACACAAAGCAGATGAGATTAAGATTCACCCTATTCCAGTATGACCTCATGCACACAACAACATTTGCAAACAAAGTCACATTCACAGGTACAAGGAGTGAGGATTTCAGCATATCTTTCTGGGGACATAATTCAATCCATAACATGTATAAAGTGCTTAGTACAATGTTTGGCCAATTGCTTTTAATAAATGATTGTTATATGATATTTCATAAAATTTGATATTTCCTTTGAAATATAAGCCAAATATACATGTAAGTAATTTGTTTGACAATTAAATCCATGACCAGATAGCGTCTTCTTAATAAGATACTTC